GCTGGGGGCTGGGGGTGGACCCGGGCGCAGGAGGCTGGACTGGGACTGCTCTAAATTGGCTGGAGGGGCCCGTCGGCGGTGAAGTTGCTAGCTGGGGCAGAGGTAGCCACGCGGTTACAGGAGTAAGAGATCCCCCTGTGGCGAGTGCGTGAGGAGGAGTCCGGCGTTCCTGCCATCCCGTCGCCCTCCCCGCCTTCCCAGCCCCGCTAGCTCCTCTCCTGGCTTCGGCGCGTCCCCTCGTTCTCACCCCTCTTGCCTCCTTGTTCGGTCCCGCGGCACTGCCGAGTCGTCGGTTCCCTGCCCTGACCCTCCCGGCCTCCAGCTGGCCCTGTCCCCTGCTTGCTTCACCATTACCCTTGGTTCCCCCTTTTTTTCCCTCGCTAGTTTACCCTTCCCTGCTTCGTAATTCCCGATGCAATTGCCTCTTTGAGACCTTTTTTTTTTTTCCTCCCTTTTAGATTGGCCAACGGCTCCTTTCAACCCTGCCTCGTTGGTGGCCACTGGAGAAGCGCGGGGGGCTCCCCAGACAGCCGAGGGGACAAGTTAGAGCCAGCACTTTACCCCAGGCCTCGCGTGTAGCGTCCCTTCCCCTGCTCTAGGTCCCCCTGGTGTCTGGAGGGGGACTTTGGGGGTGTGCCCTCCTTACATGTCCCACGCTCTGGGCAACCCTCTGGGCTTGTGCTCCATCTCGTGTTTTGCTTCCTGCACGGTGGTCGAGGGACACCAGTTTGCATCATGTCCCGGTATAGCTACCAAAGTCTCCTGGACTGGCTGTATGGGGGCGTGGACCCCAGTTTTGCAGGCAATGGGGGCCCCGACTGTGCTGCCTTCCTCTCTTGGCAGCAGCGGCTGCTGGAAAGTGTGGTGGTCCTGACCCTGGCCTTGTTGGAGATCCTGGTGGCCCTGCGGCACATCCTGAGGCAGACGAAGGAGGACAGTAGGGGTGGCCGTGGCAGCCAGCCAGAGCAGGTGACCCAGCGGCCAGAGGAAGGCAAGGAGAGCCTGAGCAAGAATCTGCTCTTAGTAGCCCTGTGCCTGACCTTCGGGGTAGAGGTGGGCTTTAAGTTCGCCACCAAGACCGTCATCTACCTGCTCAACCCCTGTCACCTGGTCACCATGATGCATGTGAGTCTGTTGACGTTTTCCTGGGCAACCTAAGTGATTGAGTCATTTGTGTGCTCTGGACACTTGGCAATGGAGAGCACCTTATCCCTGCGGGAAGTGGGACCCTTAAAAATGATTTTCCAACCAGTGGCTGCCTTTGTGCCGATTTCAGAGTTGGCTTTCTTTCACCTTTGCACAATGTGTCAGCCCCACAGTGGAGTTGAGGAACATTTTGCCAAACCCTAGGAAGGACTGGCACTCAGGCCTACTGCCCCTCTCCTCTCTCAGCCCTGCCTAGATGGCCTTTCAGAAGCAGGAAGTCCAGCCCCAGTCAAGTGCCCTTTTTGAATCCTGTCTGTGGACAGTAGCCCAGCCCCTATGTAAAAGTTCATTTTCCAAGGGCCTGGTGACATTCTTTCCTAGAGGTGGTCACATCAGTGTCCTGGTCTCCACTGTGGTACTTTGGGGAAATACTTTTATGGGTTTCTCTTAATGACTCTTTCATTTGGGAGTTTATGCTCTTAGGGTGAGGTCAGCCCTGAATTCTGAGGCATTGGAGCACTGTCATCCTCCTACTAAGTGTACCCTGAAACAGGCCCCAAGTAGATTTATGAGCTTTGGCCTGGTGATCTCTTTCTATGTTGAGAGAGTGTTTATTTGTTTGGCAAACCTCTCCATCTTTTCAATATCCTGCTATCTCCTGTGGTCATGGTCCAGGGATGCTCAGTGAGCTAATGGCTTCACCTCCCCAACTTCCACCTATTAGTGGTACTAAGAAAAACAAATGGGATTGAAAAGGGAAGTTGCCAGATACATAAAAATAATCTGGGTGAGGACCAGGAGTGAGACTGTTTGTTTTGTACTCAGCCTGTGTGGAGAGATGTTCTAAAGCTATAAAATCATGGAGGAGGAGGAAGAGGAGAAGGGGAACATCCGTCTTTTTAAGATTTCAGGCTGTGGAAAACCTAGTGTGTTTTATCCAGCGGCAGTTCTGAAACGTGTCACTAGCATCTTTATTGCTTTCATATTTGTTGAAAGTTATTCTCAGAGGACTTGTGACAGCCTTCTGTGGGGCAGGAGGTTGGGATTATTTTCCCTATTTTACAGGCCTGGCAGGGTCCAAGAATGGGAGGTCACTTGTTGCAGCCAAAAGATGAATTAGCATCTGAGTTGGAAAGCAAACTCACCCTGGTTGGGGCTGCAAGCTGTCAGTGAAGAGGCAGGGCGGTCTCTTGGTGAGGCGGAGGCAGATGAGCACGGTGCTGTCTGTCTACTTGGGGCTCACATACTTGCTAGTTGTGAGCACCTCGGAATTCATTTGATTGCTGTTTCCTGGCCTCAGTTTCCCAATCTGAAATGCGCTGAATGGCTTCCGACCCCTTCCCTTCTTGCACATGTAGCCAAGAGGTGTAGAGAGCTTTGGAATAAAGAAGCTGTTATGGATTGGGTGGCTGTAAACATCCAGCAGGGATGCAGTGGGGAGCATTTTTTAAGAGAGGGCTTCTTGAGAAGTGATGCCATTCACAGGAAGCCCAGGGTTCTCCTAGCTAGACCTTCTGTGTAAATTTGAGCCCGTCCTCTTTCTTTCTTTTTGGTGAATGGGCTTTTTGTTAATGAGAGGAAACAACATATCTCAGCCACTGCTATATAAGGCTCTTGGACAGGAGTGCTTTTTTTTTTTTTGGATGGCAGGTGGTGAGTGTCAAAGGGTGCTTCTTCTACAAAGGGGTCTTGAGGCCTCTGACAACCACATATCTAGACGGTCAACAAAGGACTAAATTCAGCCTGTCTGAGGCCGCTGCTTGTACGATGATGTCAAACCTGGCAGCACCATGGTTTTTTAGAGGGAAAGCTTTAAGAAGTTTTTAGAGGACTCAGGAGACCTAGTTCTGTATAATTGTGTGACTGGGGAGAGCACCTTTCCTGGGCCTCAGTTTACCCATCTGGAACATATGTCAGAGTTGTATTCCTAGCTCTTGACAGTCTATGCTCTGTGATTCTTTTCTCTGTAAGCAGTGGATGGGAATGCAAAAGAGAGCTATTCTGAAAGGCTTTGGACCTCCTTGTGTGGGAAAAGGAAACTGGTTTCTTCTCTGAGGAGGTCAGGTGGTCAATCCCTGTTTAACTTTTGCTTCCTGTATCTCCTCAGTGAAGTAAACCTGACCAGGCCACCTCTGGGGACACATGCAGATGATGATGGCACTAGGAGCTGGCTGCTGCAGAGAGATGGAGGTTTAGGGGATGGTAGGCTGATTTCTGTCACCTGTGCTTTTCCAACTGTTTTGTTCTTAGCTTAAACCTTGAAGCTGTAGGCTGAGGGCAGAGAACAGCATTGTGCTAAGAAATCCTTGAGCTCAACTAGGATTATAGTTCTTTGCCCTTTATTCCTGAGTCACTGCTTTACATCACTTGAACAGTAACCTCTGGTCTACTAGGGGATCTAGCCTTTGATGAATCCACCTTGCCATGCCTTTCACGGGCAGCAGGAATATGTGGATTTTTCAAAGTTGATGTGAGTTCTTAACAAAAATACTATAGCAGAAGGTTAGGAATAATTTTCTGACTTAGTTGCAGCAATGACTAATGATAGTATGTATGCCTAATGATATCTTACATTTATCTAGCACTTCACTGTTTATAAGTCACTTGCACAGGCATTATCTTATTTAGTGATGTGATGGATTAGCTTGTGCCTAGAGAAGAAGATGTTAAAATATTTCCTGTAACTTTGTGTGTTCCGAAGGGGAGATAATGAGGACAAAGAAATGCTTTGGCAAGTGAATGAGTTGAGTTAGCTAATAATATGGCAGTAAATCTGTGGGGTTCAGAGATCCTGATAAGGAAAGGGAGACAGTCGCTCAAGTGAAAGAGATAACTTGGCAGAAACATTTCTTATATACGCCTCTCAACACGAGGACTCAATTTTGGTTTCAAAGGGGGCCCCTCTTGCAGGAAGTAGAGAAGTTGGAAGGAAGTCAGTTTGTTTTCCCATCAACCATTTTTCAGTCTGTAAAATATTCCCAAGGCCTTGTTAACCAGACTAGGTGTACTGATGGTGCTGTAGTTAAAGCATTTGACTGCTAACCAAAAAGGTCAGCAGTTCGAACCCAGCAGCTGCTCTGCAGGAGAAAGATGTGGCAGTCTACTTCTGTAAGGATTTATAGCCTTGGAAACTCTATGGGGCAGTTGTGCTCTGTCCTATAGGGTTGCTACGAGTTGGAATCGACTCAACAGCAGTGGAGTGGGTGTCACCAGACTATCAGCATGGCCGTGCTGCCTTTGAGTGACTGCCAACTTGAGTAGCATATGGAAGGGCAGAAGTGTGTCCAAGTTCTTCTTCTTTTTTTTTTTTATTGTGATTTGGGTGAAAATTTACAGAACAAATTCACTTTTCATACAGCAGTTCACATACACTTTGTCTCATGACATTGACCACAATTTACCACAATGCAACAGCTCCCCTCCCACTTTCTCC